CGCACACATTGTGCCTGTGTCCACGTCCTGTGTGTGCATCTACATGCAGTGCGTGTGTATCTGTCTGTGTACTGTGCGTGTGCATGCCAGGGGGATACGGAGCCGCTGCCCCAGGGGCAAGGCCCTCGCTGGCCTGTTCCGGAAAGACCCGGGTGCCCTGGGGGGGTGCCCTGGAAGTGGGGGGGGGCAGGCCTGAGCCTCTGACTGCTGCCCCCCGCCCTGAGCCATCACACGATGAAATCAGATCCGGCAGCTTAAAAGCCGACCCCCAGGGGCTGGCTCCCCCCCAGCCCCGGGAAGCAAAGCCCCCACCCCATGATGAAGTCATCTCCCCCCTAGGCTTCGGAAGTGACCTTTGACCCCAGCCCTGCTGCCGCCTCCGCTATGCTGGGCCCTAGGGAGGCAGGATGGCAAAGGAGGGATCCCAGCCCCCCCACCCCAGCTCCAGTGCCCTGACAGAGGGTCCCCTTTGGAAATGGGGTCAAGGAACAGGCGGCCTGGGGGTCCCTGGCAAGAGAGCCCTGGTGCCCGGAGCCAGACGCAGCCACCTCTGGGCATGGGGGGGGGGCCCTCACAGCTCAGGCCCTGGCAGCATGACCCTCCCCACCCACAGAAGGGGGAGGGTCTCCCATCCAGAGAGCAAACAGGCCGGATGCTGCTGAGCTTCCAAGACTGGCAAGGCAGGCGAGGGAGAAGAGCCAGGCAGGCTCATGGCCATCTGTTCCCATAGCCCTGGCCTCAGCCACCCCTCCCCCTGCTCGGCAGGGCTGGGGACTTGGGACTCGGGGCTGGGGGGGAGAAGAGGGGAGCCCCCGTGGCTGCAGGAGTGGCCCTGCTGGGGGGTGCTGAACAGGGCCCTGATGGGTGGAGGTCCTGTGGGCAGGAGGGGGGTGTCCTGGATGCCCGAGATGGCTCTGATCCAAGCCCAGAGCCATGCCGAGGCCAGGCCAGGCCCAGGCATATCTGGTGCTGGCAAGAATCCAGATTGTAAAGTGTGTGTGCGCATGGGTGCACACATGTACATGTGTGCGTGCACCTGTTCACAGGTGTGCATGCATGTGTGTGCTTATGTGTATTCCTGTGCATTTGTGTGGACGTGTTGCTCCCGCCGTCTCCCCCGTGCCGCCCTCGCCCGTCCCTCACCCAGCACCAGGCCCCTGGCAGAGGTGTTTCCAGGCTCTTCCCTGCCCTCAGCGCTGCTGCCCGCTCCTCCCTGCAGGCCGAAGCCTCCGGGAGCCTGGGATTTTGGTCATGAGGGTCCCGGATTTGTCCCCATGTCTCGAGGTGCCGCCGGGGTCCAGGGTTAAGTCCGTGCTTAGTGCTGGGTGCCGCACGTGCCCCTTGCAAGGGCCACTGCCGGGGGCAGGAGGCTTTACCTGCAGGGAAACTGAGGCGCAAGGCGATTCAAGTGATGTCATGGGGGGGGCGGGGGGAGGTTGTGGCATCCGGCTTCCCCTCCCTGCAGAGCCAGCGGAAAAGGCTGCTCCGGTTTCGCTCTGACCTTGATGCCTCTCAGTCCCCCCCATCCCGCCCCGACCGGCTCCGTAATCCCGGCCCCATCAGGCTCCCGCCGTATGGCGCTGTCTGGGGGAGCAGTGGCCACATGGGCTTGGGGCGGCTGTAGCCCAGGGCTCCCCGGGGAAGGGGACGGGGGTCTCCCAGAGGTGTCCGTGGAGAAGGACGGGCAGACGGATGGCCTCGCTGACTGTTGGAGGGGTGAGGGGACGGATGCATGGGGAAGGGGGTGGGTGTAATAACCCCGAGCTCCAGCATTGCTTCGCAAAGCTCTGCACAAAAGCACCTGGTGTCACTCTCCCCATTTTAGAGCTGGGAAGATTGAGGCACAGGGGTGGGCAGAGCTGGGAATCAGGCTGGCAGCTTCTGCCTCCACATCCGGTGGCAGGGGCTGGCTCTGGGCATGCCCAGGCTGGGGGGTAGGCGTATTGTCCTCAGTCTTCCAGGCCGCTCGGTGAGTGTTTGTGCCTCAGTTTCCCCATCTGTGAAGTGAGAGCATTGGCTCTGTGGGCTGGGGGCCAGGTTGCGCCCAGTGCCTGTGCTTGGCGCTGCACCCCATGGCATCAGAGGGGTTAATCCCCCCCTCCCCCGTTTCCCCCCCCACACACCTTGGCCCAC